GAAACAAGATTATCAAGGCAGTGGATAAAAAAAACCAAAAACCAGAAGAGCTACAATCACTGAGCCCTGAGGCAGGCTACTATAGAAAGGCCAGGGAGATGCCATTGTCCAGTAATTGCAGTGTAGACTCAGGAACTGCTGCTGATAAATGACACTTGGGGGATTTAAGAAACAAGAAGAGGCGCTCATAAGAGTTGAAGCACGTGGCAGGGACTGTTTGGGCCTTTGAAAGATCGCTTCAAAGCATCCATAGCCAGGCACTTGGTGTGAAGTTGGCCGTGTTCCCAAGGTTTTGGTAAATAAAAAGAAGTAGATTCCACACGGCAGTACTGAGCCCGCTCTATGTCACCGGCACTGTGATTGCGAAGATGACTTTTGCAAAGCACATCCTAAAATGTCCACTAGGTGGCAGGAAACACCCACTAAGTCAGCGGCAGGTGCCGTCCTGCTCTCCTCTACCCCTCCCTGTAGTAAAGAGAGTCACTGAATTGAAAGATGCATATGTCTCCTTAATGTGTACTATTATCACTTAGAACAGAAACTGGTATTTTCTCCAGAGACCCAATAGTGGCCATTCGTCTGTGAGATAATGGGGGTGAGCTAGGTGTCTGGGGTACAGAGTGCTTCATTCCGTTTGGAAATGTGTGTGTTGGGAGCTGGATTTGCGAGAAGTAAGGACATGAGACTGTAAGGCCTTTTGCATAAACTAGATATTTAATATTTTTCGCTTGGGGAAAGGTGAGGGAGGCAGGCTCAGGAAAGCAAAAAAACAAACACAAAACCTTGGGAAAAAAAGTAAGTCATGTATCACAAATCTATTTCCATTTAGAAGTTACATCTTCTTCCACTCTCCTTAGGACACTAGTCCGCACACTTGCTTTCACGCTGGAACCCCCTGGGCAGCTTCAAAAATAACCAATGCCCCTGTCCCATCCCTAGAGATGGTGATTGACGTGGTCTGAGATGTGGCCTGGCCTTGGACGTGTGTGTGCGTGTGTGTGTGTGTGTGTGTGTGTGTGTGTGTGTGTGTGTGGTTAATTATTTTAAATAATATTTTTATGGCCCTAACCGGTTTGGCTCCGTGGATAGAGTGTCTGCCTGCAGACTGAAGGGTCCCAGGTCCGATATTCCGGTCAAGAGCATGTACCTTGGTTGCTGGCACATCCCCAGTAGGGGGTGTGCAGGAGGCAGCCTTCCTAATGATGTTTCTATTTCCCTATTCTTTTCCCTTTCTTTCTCTACGATCAATAAAAATTTATTTATCTATTTACTTTTTAAATATATTTTATTGATTTTTTTACAGAGAGGAAGAGAGAGGGATAGTTAGAAACATCGATGAGAGAGAAACATCGATCAGCTGCCTCCTGCATACCCCCTACTGGGGATCGAACCTGCAACCCGGGCATATCCATCCGCTAGATATTGGCATGGTGTTTGACTCTGCAGCGGATGACAAACGTATGTTTTTATTCCTCAAGATTCATAAGGACTCAGTTACTCATCCAAGAATCATACTGCCCTCAGAGGGTCGGAATTTTGCCTGACTTCTCAAGGCAAGACTGAATTCACTGAGCCATATCACCGGGCCTCCTACCGTACTGTGGTGTTTTGGGGCCGAACCCAGCAACCACCTCCTACAAAATGAGCGTGTCTGTTCCGTTGGCCACCACTGCCTAGTCCCGTATTTTCCACTGGCTGACTCACCCAGGTGGGTCTTCAATGCACCAGGAAACACCAACATCCCCTCCAAACAAAATTAGGTTTCCAGGAAACCCAACTCTTTGGTGTTATAACTCTTTCACTCACAGATCCATAGCCAATTTTCCAAAGCACAACCATAATATCAAATTGACTCAGGAGGAAGGGATTCTACCATTAGCCATGCTCATAACCAGAACCAACACTCCCCAGCAGCAACCCAGACAGTGGTATCGTTCTTGTCGCCAGTCCATAGCACCCCTCTTTCATGGTGGGTCCCCTTTATTGTTCTCTCATGCCACCTCGCCTTGGTCTTCATCCCAGTCCATCCTACTTGGAGAAGGAGCCACGGTCCTAGTCCTTTTTCCTTCCAGGAGGCATTGCTGCCTTTTGTCTAGTTACAGATGCTAAACAACATGTGGGGAAAAGGTATTCAGTGGTCGGCAAACTCATTAGTCCACAGAGCCAAATATCAACAGTACGATTGAAATTTCTTTTGAGAGCCAAATTTTTTAAACTTAAATTATACAGGTAGGTACATTGTTATTAACTTAATTAGGGTCCTCCTAAGGCTTAGGAAGAGCCACACTCAAGGGGCCAAAGAGCCGCATGTGGCTCTCAAGAAAGGGGCAACTAACTTCCTCTCCCAGCAATAGTTACGCCCCAAACTCTTTGCCAAGCCCCAAAGATCCCCCCCTTAGGCACATTAGGTAGCCAGAAGCCTTGAATCAAGAAACTCAATTTAAATGATAACCTTGATGTTCTAGGTTATCGCCACCTCTCATTGTGTGGACTGTAGGTAAATTGAAGTTAGTTTTATTATTTTTCTTTCTGATGATGGAGTCACCTACACCTTAATGTTTACAGTGGAAATGCCCACAGGCACCCACCCTCTCCCTCCATTTATAAATCATTTGCATGTCTCTCCCTGAATGAGCAGCCTGCCAGGAGTTGTTGGGTCTTTTCATCTCCGCAGGCTTGTGGGTGCAGAAGCCCTTCAGTTACTCCGGTAGAAGTTTCCACCACCTGCCAAATGGCTCTGCCCGCGGCCATAAGATATAATCATGTTTTACACGTACAGCAAAATGGAACGACCCACATCTTTCACCATTCTTATTCTCAGGCACCTCATGCGTGTTTGCCAAGAGCTTGCAAACACAGTGGTTGGATTTTCAGGCAAAAGAGGGCAAGATGGGAAAAACTCTTGAGAGAAAATCGTCCTTGCGTGGTCCCATGTATGTTGGAGACAAGGGGGCAGGGACCTGGCTCTGTCATTCTGAATTTAATGTGGGTGGGCAGTATTCATAGCCGGGAGAGGCTCTGGCCATGAGAGACTGGTAAGCAGGTTGGAAAAGGATGATCCTGTTTTTTGTTGTTGTTGTAT